CTCTCCCTTAATGGTTACCCCTTCTTCCCCCCTTACCTCTCCCTTAATGGTCACCTCTTCTTCCCCTTACCTCTCCCTTAATGGTTACCCCTTCTTCCCCCCTTACCTCTCCCTTAATGGTCACCTCTTCTTCCCCTTACCTCTCCCTTAATGGTTACCCCTTCTTCCCTCTTTACCTCTCCCTTAATGGTTACCTCTTCTTCCACTTACCTCTCCCTTAATGGTTACCCCTTCTTCCCCCCTTACCTCTCCCTTAATGGTCACCTCTACTTCCCCTTACCTCTCCCTTAATGGTTACCCCTTCTTCCCCTTACCTCTCCCTTAATGGTTACCCCTTCTTCCCCCTTACCTCTCCCTTAATGGTTACCTCTTCTTCCCCCGTTACCTCTACCTTAAGGGTTACCTCTACTTCCCCTTACCTCTCCCTTAATGGTTACCTCTTCTTCCCCCTTACCTCACCCTTAATGGTCACCTCTACTTCCCCTTACCTCTCCTTTAAGGGTTATCTCTTCTTCCCCCTTACCTTTCCCTTAATCTCCTCCCCTAACCTTTCCCTTAGCCCGCGCAGGAATATCAATGCAAACAAAAAAAAAAAAAAAAATCCATCCCTGGCCTCACCGTCGCCTCCCCTGGCCTCACCGTCGCCACCCCTGGCCTCACCGTCGCCTCCCCTGCCTCACCGTCGCCACCCCTGGCCCACCCCGTCGCCCTCCTGGCCTCACCGTCGCCCCTCCCCTGGCCTCACCGTCGCCCCCCCCCTGGCCTCACCGCGCCCCCCTGCCTCACCGTCGCATCCCCTGGCGTCCCGTCGCCCCCCTAGTCTCACCGTCGCCACTCCTGGCCTCACCGTTGCCAACCCTGGCCTCACCGTCGCCTCCGCTGGCCTCACCGTCGCCACCCCTGGCCTCACCGTCGCCACCCCGGCCTCACCGTCGCCACCCCTGGCCTCACCGTCTCCTCCCCTGGCCTCACCGTCGCCACCCCTGGCCTCACCGTCGCCCCCCCGGCCTCACGTCGCCTCCCCTGGCGTCACCGTCGCCCCCCCCTGGTCTCACCGTCACCACCCCTGGCCTCACCGTCGCCACCCCGGCCTCACCGTCGCCTCCCCTGTCCTCACCGTCCCTCCCCTGGCCTCACCGTCGCCACCCCTGGTCTCACCGTCGCCACCCCTGGCCTCACCGTTGCCTCCCCTGGCCTCACCGTCGCCACCCCTGGCCTCACCGTCGCCACCCCGGCCTTACCGTCGCCTCCCCTGGCCTCACCGTCGCCTCCCCTGGCCTCACCGTCGCCACCCCTGGCCTCACCGTCGCCACCCCTGGCCTTACCGTCGCCTCCCCGGCCTCACCGTCGCCACCCCCTGGCCTCACCGTCGCCACCCCTGGCCTCACCGTCGCCTCCCCTGGCCTCACCGTCGCCTCCCCTGGCCTCACCGTCGCCACCCCTGGCCTTACCGTCGCCACCCCTGGCCTTACCGTCCCTTCCTGGCCTCACCGTCGACTCCCCTGGCCTCACCGTCGCCTCCCCTGGCCTCACCGTCGCCTCCCATGGCCTCACCGTCGCCACCCCTGGCCTCACCGTCGCCTCCCCTGGCCTCACCGTCGACTCCCCTGGCCTCACCGTCGCCACCCCTGGCCTCACCGTCGACTCCCCGGCCTTACCGTCGCCTCCCCTGGCCTCACCGTCGCCCCCCCTGGCCTCACCGTCGCCTCCCCGCCTCCCGTCGCCCCCCCTGGCCTCACCGTCGACCCCCCTGGCCTCACCGTCGCCACCCCTGGCCTCACCGTCGCCACCCCTGGCCTCACCGTCGCCCCCCCGGCCTCACCGTAACTCCCCTGGCCTCACCGTCGCCCCCCCTGGCCTCACCGTCGACCCCCTGCCTCACCGTCGCCACCCTGGCCTCACCGTCGCCACCCCTGGCCTCACCGTCGCCACCCCTGGCCTCACCGTCGCCACCCCTGGCCTCACCGTCGCCCCCCCTGGCCTCACCGTAACTCACAGTAAGCCCATTTCTTATTCATTAAAATCCACAATAATAATTATCGGCACTAATTATTTACACCTGGAGCTGCGTGATCCTGCAGGCTGTAGTGATCCTTGATTAACACACACGCGCGTGTGCGTGTACTCGCCTAGTTTGCTTGCGGGGGGAGCTCCGGCTCTTTGGTTCCGACTCTCAACTGAACACACACCACACACACACACCGCACAATACACACCACACACACACACATACACACACACACAATAACACACACACATAACACACCGCATACACACACACAAACACACACAAACACACACACCACACACACACAGATGAAATCTTCAAGAGTCAGAGAGAAAGACCTGGGGGTTGATATCACGCCAGACCTGTCCCCTGAAGCCCATATAATAGGTTAGCATCAGCGGCATAGCCAGGTTGGCTAACATAAAACGCATTTAGAAACTTGTATAAGGAATCATTCAGAACGTTGTATACCACTTATGTCAACAAATCTTGGAGTATGCAGCTCTAGCCAGGAGTCCATATCTATTAAGTACAAAACAAGTTAAAGAAGATTCAGAGGTATGCCATTACTAGTCCCAGAAATGAGAAGTATGAGTTACGAGGAAAGGCTACGTGAGCCAAACATCACGTCCCTGGAAGACAGAAAAGTAAGGAGAGACATGATAACCACCTACAAAATTCTCAGAAGAATTCACGGAGTGGACAAATACAAACTATTTAGCACGGGTTGAACACGAACAAGGGGACACAGGTGGAAACTTTAGTACCTAAATGAGCCACAGAGACATTAGGATTAATTTGTTTAGTCAGGGTAGTTAACAAATGAAAAGCTCAGGAATCTGTACACCAGTAGATTGACGGTTGAGAGGCGGGAACAAAGAGCCGAAGCTCAACCCCCGCAAGCACAACCTAGGTGAGAACACACAGACACACACACACACCACACTCACAACACACACACACACACACACACACCACACCCACCCACCTACACACACACACACGCACACCAACACACACCCACCCACCTACACACCCACACACGCACACAACACCACACACCCACCCACCTACCACACCACACACACACACACACACCACCCACCCACCTACACACACACCACACACACACCCACCCACCTACACACACCACACACACCACCACACACACACACACACACACACCCACACCCCACCTACAACACTCACACACCACACCACACACACACACACACACAACACACAACACACATGTCTTGTGACCATCGTGTTGGGTGGACGTGGGTTGGGAGCTCCTGTCTCACTAGTGGAGTGGGAAGGGGTAATCAGGCAGCTTCGAAGTGAAAAAGTGTGTACAAGTGAATGAAAAAACCTTGAGTTTTGGCCAGAGCCATAAAGTAGTGAAGAAAAACAGTTTAAATAGCGTAATTCAAAATAGTTGTAGTATTGTGGCAGTGTGTAGTGTGGAGCAGACCTCACCGACCTCTGACCGCGTGACCTCACCCCGGCAGCAACCCTCCTACCACCACGGGGACGACGCTTGGAGATTCACTCACCTATTGTGTTAGCAGGACGGTAAGATACTTGGAACCCCTGTGGTAAGGTTGCATTATAGCAATGACTAGGTCAGGAAGGGCGGTCTAGGTCCAGCAGTATTATGATTGAGGAAGAAGATAGGTTTGTGGAGAAGATGATTGGGAAATTTGTAGAGAAGAGGGATGTTTGGATAGGTGATCTAATCCAGGGGATTAAAAGTGAAGTCTTTAATAAGATACAGGGCGAGGTTTCAAAGACTCAAACAAGAGTTTATGGATTATATTCAAGAGGAAATCAGGAAGAGCAGGGTAGAATGGCAAGGAGAAATATCTAGGCTTACTAATGAATTTGGCAGGAATAAGGGAAGCTTGGCAGGGGAAGGGGAAGTAGTAGTAGTAGGTGGAGTAGCGGGTGTAGGAGGGGTGGGGTTCAGCCAGGGAGAGGGCCACCAGCACCCTGACCCTGAACTGAAAGAGGACAATCATAATCCATGGATTACTTGAAGCCAGGGCACCATCGAGGCAGAAAGGATGGAGATTGAGGATTTGGAACTACAGGGGATCTTGAGAGACATGAGAGCCCAGAATGGCAGGGAATGAGGTGCAAGTCCCACCGACGCATTGGACCATACAACTGTAACAGGAAACGACCTGTCCTGGTACAGTTCACTAACGAAGAGGCAGTGGATTACATACTGCATCACAAACACCTACTCAGAGGTAGCGAAAATTACTACAACGTATTTATTGACAAATTCATGACGAAGGAGGAACAGATTGCCCACAGAGCAAGCAAACAACAATACGACTCTTCCCATTTGAGCGCAGCTACACACCCCAGTGCTAATCCACCCCATGCTAACCAGCTCACCACGTGCTTCTCAGGTCACCCCTTTCCCAAATCAGCCGCCCCTGCTTATCTCCCCCAGCACATCCCTTGACCCCTCTGACCCCACTGGAGTCAAATTCATCCCCACATTCCAAGGACCCCCTCATCACCTCAACCCCCAAACCCGTCCACCCTCGTCCCCTCAACCCCCAAAACCCACCCAGCTCTCATCTCCTCAACCCCCAAATCCCATCCAGACCTCATCGCCCCTCAAACCCCAAGAACCCACCCAGACCTCATCCCCTCAACACCCCAAAGCCTACCCTGCCCTCACCCCTCCTCATCCCCTCTCCTTCCATGTGACCCCCCACCCTTGCGAGGGAGGTGGGAGGTCCCCCCACCCCCTCTATCCATCCCCCTCCCAACCTCTCAACCTCTATCTGTCTCCCAACCTTACGCCATCTCCCAACCCCTCTATGCCCTCCCTAATCTTCAGACCCAGTATGCCCTTCCTACTCCAGACCTACCTACCCAGGCCCTACCCCAGACCCTCCTACCTACCTTCCTAGAAGCCCAGCCCCCAGTAGCCCCCCAAGCACCCCTCCTGAACACTCTTTCACCCCCCATACACCCCCCCCCGGACCCCCCCCAGACACCCCCTGGATCCCCCCGGACATCCCCCGGACCCTCCCCGCCCCCAGTCATCCCCCAGACACCCCCCAGATCCCCCAGATCCCTCTGCCCCCCGTCACCCCCCAGACATCCCCCAGATCCCCCCAGACCCCCAGAGAAAGGGAGAACTCTGGTACAAGAGTTTCCATGAAGAATCTCAAGGTTTGGTACACCAATGCTGATGGGGTATCTAATAAAGCAGAAGAGATAAAAGAAAGAGTGAGTGAAGCAGATCCTGACATAGTTGCAATTGTGGAAACTAAAATTAATGACATGATCTCAGATGCTATCTTTTCCTGAAGGGTACCAGGTGATACGAAAAGAGAGGACACAGAGACAGGGAGGGGGAGTAGCACTCCTAATAAAGCGGAAATGGAAGTTTGAAGACCTGGGAAATCGAGTTACCAATGAGTGCACAAGCTTCATACATGGAACTCTGACAGTAGATGGGAGGAAAGATTGTGATCATGGTAATCTACAATCCCCCACCAAACAGTAGAAGACCCAGGCAGGAGTATGATGACAACAACAAAGCATGTATTTGATGAACTGCAGAAGGCAGCAAACACTAGCCCACAGAATGAGAGCGAAGCTGCTGATCATGGGGGACCTAAAATCATGGAGAGATAAATTGGGAATCAAGGAATCCCCATGGAGGGGATGAAACGTGGGGAGCAAAATTAGTAGATGTTATAGACAGGAATTTCCTGACACAACATGTGAAGGAAGACACAAGGGAAAGAGGAGGAGATGCACCGAGCCTATTAGACCTGATTTTCACCCAGAACGTAGAAGATATCGAGAATTTAGAGCATGAAATACCTCTAGGGGCCAGTGACCATTGTGTCCTAGTCTTTGACTACATGATGGAATTCAAAATTATGACCATGGGAACAAGAGATCTGGGAAAGGAGAGCTGACTACAGGAAGGGGGACTATATGAGGATAAGGGACTATCTGGGTGAAGTGCAGTGGGAGGAAGAAAATTAGAGGAAAAACAGTCCAAGATATGATGGACCTAGTCATACAGAAATGCCAGGAGGCCGAAGAGAGATTTATACCAACGGTAAAGGGAAAAAATAAGAAGGAATATAATAACCCATGGTTTAATAGACAGTGTCAGGAAGCAAAAATGGCCAGCAGCGGGCGGGAGTGGAGGAAGTACAGAAGACAAAGAAACAGAGGACAACAGAAGCAGATACAACAGAGCTAGGAACGATTACATTAACATAAGACGAACATCGGAAAGGGACTATGAGAACGATATTGCAATCAAAGCGAAAAAACAACCTAAGTTACTACACAGTCATATAAGAAGAAAAATGTCGGTGAACGACCAAGTGACAAGACTAAGGAAGACAGAGGTGGGCATATACTGAAAGTGGACAAGGAAATCTGCGAGGCACTGAATGCCAGTTTCCATGGAGTGTTCATACCTACCGAGCCTGAGCAGCTCCCATTGTTGGAAGGGGTTTACCCTAGATGAAAGACTATCAGATATAGAGGTGACAGCAGAGGAGGTAATGAAACAGTTGACAACTCTAGATGCAACTAAAGCAGTTGGACCAGACAAAGTATCACCGTGGGATACTAAAAGAAGCAGCACAGGCCCTCAGCGTGCCTCTGGCAATGATCTTTAATGAGTCACTTATGTCAGAGAATTGCCAGTTGCTGGAAGAAGGCAAATGTCGTGCCGATCTTCAAGAAAGGAGATAGGGAGGAGGCACTTAACTACAGACCTGTATCACTGACAAGCATCCCCTGTAAAATACTGGAAAGAATAATTAGGCTACGACTGGTTGCACACCTGGAGAACATTAGGTTTGTGAACAAACATCAACATGGGTTTCTGGACAGGGAAATCGTGCCTAACAAACCTTCTGGAATTCTATGATAAAATAACGAGGATAAGACAGGACAAGAGATGGTTGGGCAGACTGCATATTTTCTGGACTGCCAAAAAAGCCTTTGATACAGTACCGCACATGAGACTGCTGTTCAAGCTCGAGAGGCAGGCGGGGTGGGGGGAAAAGGTCCTAGAATGGATAAGGAAC